AGAGAGAGAGATGGGGAAAACACAAATTGCTCTGCTCAGGCTCAAACCCGGCGCCTGCAAAACCCAGGCTAAGGCAATGGAGGGAGATGGGGGTGCAGAGGTGAGGACGGAGGTCGGGGAAGCAGCCAGCTTCCCAGGCTGCAAGGGCTCTGCGGCGCCAGCCTTGCTCACGGGAAGCGCTGCACCCAGCTTGTTTAACCTCTGCTGAGAAACCAGCAGTGTGGGTGCTGATGAGCTCAGCCGGGTTCACGGTGGCCTCTTGCTGGACCATGTTTTGGGTAACACCGTGTTTGAGCTGGCTCACAGCCAGCTTGGGTCAGCCAGCTCTGTTATGGCTCTAGCCCCCCAAAAGCACCCCCTGAGGTGGCCTGGAGAGCCCTGTGATCCCACACCACAGCCCAGCCGCTGCCTTCCCACCCCTCAGCCACCTTTGCACCCCCTCAGAAAAGAAACAGCGATCTGATGTGACCACAGCCGAGTTGCTTGCACAGCAATATTGCCAGTGCGGTAACACACAGCCCTCTGACACGGTGTGTGATACTGAAACGTGGAGAGCATCCTCCTCCCAGCAACCAAGGCACAAAAACCACCGGTTTGCACCAGTTCTCTGCTGAAATCCTTCAAGTGTAACGATATATGATAACTCGAAAGGGAGTACCAAGGTCTCAGTGGATCAGCAGCTAAGTTGATTAGAGCCCTGAGCCCAAAACACACAGTGTTTTAAACCAGACAGTAGAGGGAAACATGGCTGCTTCACAGATTGCAGCGCACCAAGACTTTTACCCTTCCCAGGAAATTGCCTCTTCCAGTTATTTGAGGTTTGCCTTTATTTGTACCAAGGCCACATGGTCACTTAGTCGTAAATCTGCCTGAAGGGAAAAAAAAAAAAAGACCCAAACACACACACACACACAAAAGTAATGGGCATTTTTACTGACACCAGCTTTGGAAAAGGCTGGCAGAGCACGGTGCGCCCTGAGCAGAGGCACTGATGGGGCAGGCAGGTTGGGCTCCAGCTCCAGCCCCCCTCCTCATTGCCGCTCCAGCCAGGGCGGCTGCACCAACCTGCCAGGCTCCTCGAGCCCAGCGGTGGGGCTGGCAGCCTGCGGGGCTCTCCAGGCTGCTTGGAAATGAAGCAAGAGGAGCCAGCCCTTTCAGAAAGGGCTAGAAAGGGCTTGGCTCAGTTTGGCTGCCATTTTCCTGGGGGGATTCGGGGGCTCACCCACCCAGGAACAAGGAGCCGTCACATTCACGAGTGCAGGTGAAAGCCTCTCTGGTCAGACTGGGAGCTCTTTTCTACCCGTGTTTCTGCTCTCCCTGCTGGGGGGAAGGATGCCACCAACTCACTGTTCTTTTCTCCCAAACTGCTTGCTTTCTTCAATACTTGGAGAACTTTCCCACAAGAACCACTGGGAGGAGAAGAAAGAAAAGGAGGAGGAGGAGAAAGGAGGAGGAGGAGAAAGAAAAGGAGGAGGAGGAGAAAGAAAGAAAAAAAGAAAGAAAAAGGATTTTGGACATTTGCAAACATCCCTCCTATTTCCTGACCTTTGCAGCACTGGACAGGGCACAGATCACACCTTTAGTTCAGACAACTACCAACTGGCCAGTGCCGACACGCTCCGGCCAGACCTCAGCCTTCCCACGCAACCCGGAGCCCCTCACCAGGAACAGGACTGTCCCCCTTGGCAGAGCCTGCCAGAAGAGAGGCTTAAAAACCACAAGACGGTCAAAAAAACCCAGCAATGAGCAAGTGTTTACCGAAGGTTATGTCTATGTGGGTACATCAGGTGTCCCTGATCAGGTGGGGCAAATTAATTGACACCTGAACAAAAATCCCCTTCTCTGAAAGAGATGAGGGATATCAGCTCCAGGGTGAGGACCGCCAGCTACAACCATTTTCCTGGCTGACATCGCTGTTAGCATCGCTGCGAGATGGTGGTCCCTGGCTGGGGACTGCCAGCCCTCTCCTGCTGACCCCAGAGACGGCCCAGCTCCCCAGCACGGCACTGCCACCTCCAGCCCGAGTGTACACAGGAGAATTTTCATTTCTTTCATCTGCTCATCCAAAATTAGGAATAACATAAATGCAAAGATGCTATCAAGTTTCTGGGACATTTTGGAATGAGGCTGACTTCAAGTAAAAAGCTAGGCTGATGGGGAAGAGAGGCAATGAGCACCCAGAAGAGGCCGTATAAACTGTGGCTGAGTTACCTGGTAGCATTCCTGTGCCCCCGCCTTTTTTTTTTTTTTTTTTTTTTTTTAACCTTTAGGTTTTTCTTTAATAGCAAAAGAATCTCTCTTGTTTGTCATTGCAGCCCAGGACTATTTTTAACACTGCTGTTGAGTGACTAAAATGAGGTGGAGTAGCTAAGCCAGCTACGCTGCTCCCAGCCACCCACAAGTTTTATCTGACCATCAGAGGAGGAGCTGGACCAGGGCCATCCCGCACCAGAAGGCAGAGCAAGGCACCTGCAAACGCGGACATGAGGAAGAAAATGTCTGTGTCCTGGGACGTGCATGGTGAAAAAATGTACACCACTTCCTGCAGCTTATTAAAAAAAGCCCCAGACTCCTCACAGGGTGGGTATGTCCAACAGCTGAGTGGTTTTCTCTGCATTAATCTCTGACCAGGGCTCATGGGCCATGTAGTTGGCATCTCATCTGCCCATCAGAAAAAGATAGGAGAAAAACCATCTGTGCGAAGAAGCTACACCTGGATTGGAGCTTCAGAAATAGTGCCCAAGTGAAAGCAAATAGTGGTTTCCCCCACGGTCAGTAAATTACCCAAAAATGTAACACCCAGCCCACATCTGTCCTTTGAGCAGTCTCTGCAGAGGTGTGCTAGCGCTCGGGGTGTCGGAAGCTGTTTAATCGGGTACATCCCGCATCCCTTCTCCTCCCGTCACCACCGTGATTGCTGCATTCAGAGAAGGAACCGAAAATAACTGTGGGAAGTACCAGATGGCAGCTGCCGAACGCAACGCGCCGTCTGCCAAGGCCGCCTGAGCGAAAGAGCGCACGTATTGAATGGGAACGAAGACATCGGCACTGGAGCGTGACGGCAGCATTGGGAACACAGCACGAGCCTGAGCGGAAAAGTAAGACAGACTCTGCTCTGGACAAAAAATATTGTAGAGGAATAGATAGGTATAGATATTTTTTTATAGCTATGTTTATATATTTATATATATTATGTACATTTATGCATGTAGGGAACTGCTGTGAAATGTTCAAACCTCTATTCATGCTAAATCATTAAAGGCAAATTGCACTGATGGGTTCACTATGCTTATTGCAGCAGCAAAGTAAGGTGCCTACAAACCCCGGCAGGCTCTGGTGCGCGTTGCTGCGGTGGCGTAAGATAAAACACCGGAGCAGCAGAGCCTCTGCCCCCAGCCCTTGCCCCAAGGTCATC